ATCAGAAACTAGATGGCCTTGTTAGACATTTGAGGACACACAAAAACCCAAGATGATTCATCTTCATTTTCACTATTATCACCTTATCTACAAACTGCTGATTTTAAGTTAAGAAGTCTTCACACTGATCTAAAACATTAGGGAATGGCAAGAAATATTCAAAGTGATGAATACCAAGAACCTACAACCAAGATTACTTTATCCAGCAAAGCTATCATTCAGAAGTGAAGGTCAGATAAAGAGCTTCACAGATAAGGAAAAGCTAAAGGAGTTCATCACCACCAAACCAGGATTATATAAAATGCTGAAAGGTATCCTTTAAGAAGAGGAAGAAGAAGAAAAAGGTAAAGATACTAGTTATGAACACGAAGTATGCATCTATCAACAAGTGAATCTAAGAATCAAGTGAATAAATAATCTGATGAACAGAATGAACTGGTGATTATAATAGAATCAGGGACATAGAAAGGGAATGGACTGCCTATTCTTGGCGGGGATGCGGGAAGAGACTGGACAAAAATCGTGCACGTATGGATGAGGACAATGGGTAGGGAGCGAAGGCGGAGGGTGGGGTGGGAACTGGGAGGAGAGGGGTTATGGGGGGAAAAAAGAGGAACAAATGTAATAATCTGAACAATAAAGATTTAAATAAAAAATCTAAAATAAAAAAAAAAGGACTAAAAATATGTAAATAAAAAAAAACAAAACGAAAATGACCATAAAGATAGGGGAAACAATGGACTAACTGTGTTCATCACTGATACTGTTAATTTCCTAAGACTGGGTCAGAAGACAAGACAAACATTACTTTAAGATTAAGTCAATCACTTTACATTTGTGGGGCTATAACAGGAAAATTTTAAACTTATGCTGAACTATCATATTTTCAAGGTTGAACAGAAATTACAAAAAGGACTGGTTGTTTTGAAATCTGAACCCCAACTTTTCACTGGGATTAAGTGGGCAGCATTTTTAACGTACAATGACTGGGCATCACCCCAGACCCCTGGGATCAGAGCCACGTCCCAGGGGCTGGCCTGCGGGCTCTTCCAGAGGTAGCCGAGGCTCAGGTGGCCGGTGAGCAGCACAGGTCAGTTCCTGCCATTCTCTCTCAGACAGTCAGGTAAGTTACCGGTTCTTTCAGAAAGCAAAGCAAAGCTTTTCTCAACATCCAGGTTATCGCTAAGAGAAGCAAGCACTACGGCAAGCACTTGTAATTTTTTCTTAAAAACAGAAAACTGTAAACATTTTAAAGGAGAAAACAGACTGCCGCGCCACTGGCCAGCGACTCTGCAGCCACTCGCAGGGGTGAGAGGGAACTTTCCATGTCCGCTGCAGAGATGGCCGGGCTCATGTGTCCCACAGCTTAATGCCGACCACCCCAGAAAGAAGCAACTCCTTATATTTACCAAGACTTGGAAGTACATTCTGTTCCAAGTGGAGGCAGGGCAATGCCATGAGTGCAGAAGGACTTCCAATTTCACAATATTCTGGGCCTGACTCCCACCTGCCATGTGTCACCTGCTATTCACTCATTTTACAACCTTAGTTGTCACTTAACTTCTCTGGAGCTTACTTTTCTCATCTGTAAAGTGAGGACTCTTGTCATCTCACAGGCTTGTCTTGAAAATTAAATAACCTGGTGCCTCAAACAGTACCCAGCAGATAGGAAGCTGCTTATCTGAATGACAGATACTATTATATCAAGATTATAAAACAAGAGAGCTGCAAAATCACTTAAAATTAGTCTTATTTGGAAAGGACAGAATTATACTTTTGTTCATGCAAAGGTAGTGTACAGTTCAGTTAATGTTATTTTATACACTCAATCAGTTTCTGGAACCTTTCATTCGATATTTATTGTCCCCCTTCTCTAAGCCAGCACCTTCCTGGCCCGCGGGGAACAGTGCGAGGGAGGCAGACACAGAGCCTCGCCGGTGAGGTCTCCAACCAGGAGAGCAGCTCGGAGGTGGTAGGGTGCTGGATGAATTTGAAAACCTAGAAACAGGCATTTGTTGTTTGAGTGGCAGCTGGATATGGAAGCAAGGTTGGTTTTAAGATCCAGGAAGTGCCACATGGAAGGATGAATTTGCCACTAACGGACGTGGAGAAGCTGGAGGACCTGGTGTGGGAAGGTCAGGAGCTCGGTCTTGTCTGTGGCTGGTCGGAGATGTCATCAGTGATGTCACACCCACAACTGGATGTACAACTTGGAGAGGCCGGGGAAGAGACATAAACTGAAGAGAAGACACACTTGATTCATCTAGGGAAGTATCTGGACTTAAAGTTTCATTCTTTTTAATTCTGTCCACATTAGAAAGAGGTAATGATGCCGATGAACTGTATTTCTCCATATACCTCGACTTCTCAGATCCTTTCTTATATAAGAAATCCTGCCTGATTAAAGGTCTATAGTTAATAAAAGATATCTGCATTCCAGAAGTTCACCATTTTAAAACAGGCAGTTCATATTGGATAAGTATCAAGGCAGAAGCATAATAAAAATGCTTGAAAATAGTAAGGTACATGAAAGCATGCTGAAGCCGTTTATCCCCAGCTGCATTACGCTGGAGGGCAGCGACAAGGGCAGGGGGTCCCTCCACCCGCCCTGTGTCAGCCTCAGCACAGGCGGGTGCGCCAACAATGACGGCAGGGGGCGGAACTAGCCAGGGCCCGGGACTGCTTCCCATGCAGCAGGAACAGCATGCTGTTCCTGGGAGCAGAATTAGATAGCGCTATTTTAAAACTGTCTTTTGAAAGTTACTAATTTTGTGAAACCTGATTTCAGTCAAGTCACAAGCACCAGAATAAAAAGACAGTCTCTGCTATCATTTGTAAAGCACAATTTAGTTAAAAGTATTTCAGACCATATTCTTTAATATAATTGGGGACATCAAATAATAAACTGTATGTCCCAACACAGACAAAAATTCAAAAATAAATTATAACTGTGGACTAAAACATAACATTAAAGAAAAGTCTTTGTGTGAGCACCCAAATAATTCCTCCTCTGTATCCACTGACACAAAAGCATTTTTAGCTTTCAGGTTTTGAAAAAACCCTGTTGGAACAACAACTCCCTCCCTTCCCCGCCTCTCCTTTCTTAATTCTCCCACAGCTCAAAAAATGAGATGGAGAACCTGGTATTTATCTTCCGGCACCATCAGCAGTTTTCCCCCCTCAGATTTCTATGTTGCTCTTTATTTGCTATTTGCAAGTTAGCTTGTTGGAGCTTTAGCACTAATATTCAGAAGCAGTAAAGCGAGCCTCTTGTAAGTGGTGTCTCTCCATCAAACCTCACCGGGGTTCATTCGAAGACAACGACCGAAGGGAATTAAAACACTGAAGGCTACGGACAAAAGGTATGGAAAAGGGGAGCTTTTAAAAGCTTAGCGGCCTAAATATAGCTCTTCAAGTACCACTTAGTTTGAATTTTAAGTTGCAAATCTGTTCTTAAATATTACTTTTGATATAAGTAAATCTTGTTTAAACTCATTTTACTCTTTAGTCACATCTACTCCATTCTTTTGGCGGATGGTTCAAATAGAACATCCCCCGGTTCTGCTCTGTACGCACTGTGCTTGGAACCAGGAGAGAGTTAGTTCCGTCCTTGGAGCCGTTTGCTTACTGTCACAGTATTTCTCCACCACCACCACCATGGAAACAAAGTATGCCTTTATTCTCTGCCCGACAGAAATCTGAGAGAACAGGCCGCAAACTGCATCGTGCTTGTGGCCGGAAAGGAAAAAACAAACGGTTTCACGGTGCTCTAGCAAAGATGCCAGAGGACTGTTACAAAAGCAGGGCAGCGACCTGCTTTTCGGAGAACACACCGTTTGCGTACATTCTGCAGCAGAAGAAAGCATTCCAAGTCCAGGACTCAGCAGTAGCGAGCGCTGTGCTCACTGCACGCAGCGTCATATGTTTGTGCGGATTTGCTGTCTGTCATTTATCACTGCCAGTGCTTGCTAATGAAGACGGACAAGCTGTCTGGGAGTCTGAAGGACACTGAGGTTCATAAAATGTATTGGCTAATGAGAAAAAAGGGCTATAATTGGGGAGCTGAGCACAGACTGATCAACACACCCAGGTTGCTCAACCAAAGTACAAAGAAGAGACGCTCAGAGGAGGTGAGCAGCGGTCTCGCTCTTCAGAGTCCCAGCTGAACATGGCGGGGGCAAGGCAGTAATTTCGTGAGCTGGCTGGCGCTCCAAGCCCAAACCTGAAAACAGCTATTATAAACTAAACATGGGCTTCAGTGTTTTCTTAGGAACTTTTACTTGTGTCCTATTTTGGTCTCAGCATGTAAAGAAAGAAACTGGATGATCGCAGGCAAGCCTAGGCACTCTGATCCCTACAGTAAGTCTGATCCTTAAGAATTCAAAATCTAGGGGAAATCCTCTCCTAAAATTGTACATTTCACGTTTTAACATTATGAACAGAGGAAAGGATTCAGCTAGCTCTGGATTTAACTCCTTAGAGAATCAATGTTAGAACGACAGAAAAGTCCAGACTTGGTCTCCAAAGCTAAGCCATTTGCCCAACTGATGCCCTCTGGAGTCTTTTTTTGTTTTGCTTTTTTAATTTTTGGTGGGAAAGGGAGTGAAGTTGGTATTTAAAGGTGTGCCGTGCCTTCAGATGTAGCAGTTTTCCCAGCTTCCCACAGGAAGCACCGGGGTGGATTTCACAGAGGTACTGGGGTAGCGGGAAAAACGTCCAGGCTGCAGGGAGGTGGGAAGAGGGGAAGATCTGGATATTGACCACCTGCTGCTGAGACCTGGGTGGCACTGGGTGATTTACCACCTAAATAGGCTAATCTGAAAAAATCATGATGTACAAGATTATATCTACAGTTTCTTTCAGCTCTAAGATTCTGTGCCAGTGAATACAATCAGCTTAAGGAAGGACGAGAGAAAAGAAATTGCCATGATATAAAATAAATATCATGACGTTTACTGGTCAGATAGAAACAAAAATAAAAATACTAATAACACCGACAATTACAATTTATTGTGTACTTGCCATGGGGGTAGATATTGCTCTAAGTCCTTAAAATGCACTGACATGTTTAACTCCATGACATAGGTCCTACATACAATCCTCCCATTTTCCAGAAGAGGAGACTGAGGCTCAGAGAGGCTCTGGAAAGCCAAGATTTGACCCATACATACTGCCTTTTGTCAAACATATATGACTCATGATAGAACACACTGTTCAGAATGTAATTGCTGTATTTCAGAAGCCATTACATTTCTCAAAGAGGACAGTAGTGCTGCCAGATTGAAACAGCCAAGCCACGAAGTGCTAGCTTTTCGCTTGGAAAGAATGAAGTGCTACATTATTTTTGGGACCCTTTCACAGACCAGTAACGACGTGGTTATTTCTGCTGAGTCCTTTCGAGACTCGACGTCCCTACTGGGGAGCGGTTGGAAGAACCGGTTTTGCAGCAGACTGCTGCATGTGGGTCAGGAAAGGATTCTTCTCCCAACTAGCACGGGTCTCACGTTCTCGCAGCAAGCACAGGAGCTTAATTGTGCCGGTAGTAGCGTCACTGGTCCGCTTCTGAGTACCTTGTACCTGAAGTGGAAGAAGTGCCACCCTCGGTAAGGATTTTGCAAATGTTTATTAACTGGAGCTCAGGGATAATCGTGCAGGTGACGGACTTCTTTCCACTACTTTCCTCTCCTCCTTCCACAACTCCCCTGGGTCATGTGGAGGTACTTGGTGGGCGCTTAATAAATAGTTGTTTAAAAAACCATCTTTTGCATACTTAAAACTTTTCTAAAATATCCATTAATATATATTAAGGGGTTAGTTTAAACTATTCTTTTCTTATTATCTATAGAATATTTTAACTTAAAATAAGTTTTAAAAACCTAAAATGCAATTAAAATTCCTTGCCAGATCTTACAGCTGGAATGTGGTATACCTACCTCTTGGAACCAGGTGTATGCCCACTTGGCAGACTTCAGCACAGCTGAAGTTTTTTTTTTTTTTTTTTAATATATTGTATTGATTTTTTACAGACAGGAGAGGAGAGGGATAGAGAGTTAGAAACATCGATGAGAGTGAAACATCGATCAGCTGCCTCATGCACGCCCCCTACTGGGGATGTGCCTGCAACCAAGGTACATGCCCTTGACTGGAATTGAACCTGGGACTCTTGAGTCCCCAGGCCGACGCCCTATCGGCTGAGCCAAACCGGTTAGGGCAGCACAGCTGAAGTTTTAAAAAGAACCAAGTGGACAGCTCTTTGCTTCCCGCCATACACCCAGCATAGCCACCCGGTCACCCAGGAGGTGAGCCTCTGAAGGCCAGGGGAGCCTTTCCCGAGCAGCCGCCCCCACGCCCACTGCGGGGCCTGGGCACTCGGCTCCACTGCACCCAGAGCCTTTCCCTTCGCTCTTTCTCTCCCTCAACCCCGATCTGCCTTCTTTCCCCAGCCTTTGCACTTGCTCCTCCACTGCACAGAATCTTCAGTTTGACCGAGAGCCACGATAATTAAGCACCAGGATTTTCTAGGTGGACAGCCGACGCTAACGTCATGGCCTCAATGTGTCTCCAGCTCCTTGCTTTCGTCCTGGCCTTCTGTGGGGTCTCTGGAGTGCTGGCTGCCACCCTGCTGCCCAACTGGATGGTGACGATGGACACGGGCTCCAATGTCATCACGGCCATCGTCCAGCTCCAAGGGCTGTGGATGGACTGCACGTGCTACAGCACCGGCATGTTCAGCTGCACCTTCAAGTTCTCCGTTCTGACCCTCCCCGCCCACGTGCAGGCTGCGCGCGCCACCATGATCCTGGCCTGCGTCCTGGCTGTTTCGGGGATCTGCACTTCCACGGTGGGGATGCAATGCATTCGCTTAGGAGGGGACAGAGAAAGCAAGAGCCACGCTTCCCTTGCTGGAGGCCTCTGCCTCATGTCTGCGGGGATCTCTGGTTTAATACCCACAGTGTGGTACACAAAGGAGATCGTCGCCAACTTTCTGGATCTGACAGTTCCAGAGAGCAACAAGCATGAGCCTGGAGGAGCCGTCTACATCGGATTCATCGCAGCTTTGCTGCTGTTGATCTCTGGCACGATTTTCTGCCTGAAAAAGGACCCAGAGGCGTGGCTCCCGCCACCCAAGCAGCAGCACACCCCCACCGCCAAGCCGGAGGGCAGCTCAGCTTACAACCTGAAGGACTATGTGTAAAGCAATGTGTAACCCACATGGAATTTCAGATGCCTGCTGGGACTTTTGTCTTTTAGATATTTATATATACATATATATACACACACACACACACCAGGATTATGCTTAACTTTCTCCACAAAGATTTTAAATACTTTAAAATTGGCAAGGTTATTTAAAATGCCAACAAACTCTCATGTACAACTATACCTGTTTTTTAAGATTTTCTTCACCCCTGTTTTCCTGGGTTATCTAAAACTTTATAATTTGAAGAGAGACTGATTATATTAATAAGGCAATTAATTGATAGCTTTTCTTCCTTTTTAAGATAACCTGTTGATACATTTTCTGAATTGGTACTTAACTGGTTTTATAGAAGAATTAAATTGCCAAGTGTGAGAAGCACCTGGCCTGGTGTGAATCCAGGGACAGTCTGCATTTACTGTCTGGGTGGCGACTCACAGGAACTTGCTTCTGTTTCCCAGCGGAACGGCACGGTGGCACATTAGGGACAGAAGAGCTGTCCACCTCTTTCAGACGTCGCCCAACCAGCCACCCCAACTCTCCATCTATCGGGAACTCCCTGTCCCTTTTTTCATTTTAGAAAAGTATCTACATACATCTGTGAGAACCGACAAGGTGACATTCAAAGATGAGGCGGAACTAAAGGAAGAACACTGGGAAAGACCACCACAGCAAAGCAAAACCAGACCAAACTCCACCCTCTGGGGCTTTAGACAGTAAGTAAAGCGAGTGATGACAGTAGTTTGTCTGAACAGGTTCCAGAAGGCCCTCGCCTGCTGCAGCTAGAGGCTTCTCCAGATGAAGTCATCCAGCCACAACTCACCCCATCTCCTCTACTCTCTCACTGGTTAGTATTTGGATGACAAAGGCTATTTTTAAGTTGTTATTTCATTCTCAAGCTTGACCCACATTAACAAAAACATCGTTGTTCTCTCATCGTTGAGCTGCTTCAATGAGTTAATGCGATGTGCAAGTAATTTTTAAAGTATAAAGAATGCTTTTAAAAGTATAAGTTAAATTATCTTGAGTATTTCAAATATTTCAACAAGAAAATAAAAACTGAATTTTTGATATGCAAAAGAAACATTGCAATGGTTGTTCCTTATAACTTGTTAATTCAAGCTCAGTCACTGCTCACAAGATAATGGTAAATGGGGAAAAAGAACATTTCTTCACATATAAATAATTCAGGGATGGGAAGAATACCTTTTATGTGAGTAAAAAATGTTCACTTGTTCATACAGAAGTAGAGACTAAAATATTTTATGCCTATTTTACTCGGTAGATCATTATTCTCTTCTCCAACAATGTCATCAGCTATTAATGGAACAGATCAATGAAAAGGGGCTCCTTCATGTATGGATTAGAAAGGTAATCAATGAAATAGATGTTTAAATGACTTTAAAGTATGCATTCCTTCTGAATGGTCAAAATATTTTCTAAACAAATGTTTTAAAAATACTCCTAATAAAAAGAATATTTTAATGCAGATTAATGGGATAGGATTGCTTTGACACCTATATGGTTCTTTCATTTTGCTTAATGGCTTTACATGCAGTCTACATATCCAACAGTCCTATACTAAAAGTTTACTTTATATCTTATATAATAAAGAGCTCATATGCTAACTGGACCAAACAACAGAATGACTGTCTGGATGACCTTCTGGACAACTGTCCGGACAACCTCCTGGATGAAGCTGGTGCTGTGAGGGCCAGCCAAGGCTGTGAGGGGCTGTAAGGGTTGGCTGAGGCTGTGAGGGGCTGCGAGGGCCGGCCAAAGCTATAAGGGCAGAGCCCCTTGCATGAATTTTGTGCATCGGGCCTCTCTAGTATTCTATATATGAGTGTATAAATACTTCAAAAATAATTTCTATTTATTTTTGGAATATTTTGTTCCTAAATATATACAGGAGTGTTTTGAACTCTGATAAAATAAACCATTTCATGCAAGTAACATTACCACACTAAGGTCTCCCAAAAAGTGGAAAAAACATTCACGGTAAGTAAGGTTGATGTAACTTTAGCTAGTATTCTCTAATAGAAATCACACAAAAATACTGATTTCTTTTTTTCAGGATTGGATGATCATATACCTTATCATCCATACTTAAATAATTTAAAGTGTAAAAAAGGATAACAATAATAATACCACCATGACCAGGGCAACATGGATAAAAGTGGGCATTTGGTCATTCTAAATAAGGGGAGAGAAACTGGAGTGAAAATTGTGATTTCGATTCACATTGTGGTTTTTATGGTTCTGATTCAGGAGAGGTAAAGGAAAACTTCTGGCACAGTTTGCACATAAGATGAGATCCTAAAGATCATTTCCTCTGACGGATCCTCAGAAGAGCCATGGATACCATTTAAATCCTAGTTCTGGTATAGTATAGAAATCAACAGAAACTCACTTCCGGTTTGGGAACAAACGCCCGGCCTGGAATTGTGAAGACGTGCTGAACGCGGCAGAGGTACTGGGCCATCACAGACAGGCGACTGCGCTGCTTGCTCCCCGTATTGGCTGCAAGTCTCTAGGAAAGACAAAACGGAACTTAAGCAAATAACTAATCCAGTCTGATCATAATCAAAACATAAACACTAACAGAAAATGTAACTAACTCAAAGGACCCGTGAACTATGCTCAACCACATAGCACATTAGGAACATGCACAGTAAAGCTACAATGAGATAAAATTTCATATCCACAAAATGAACAAAATTTAAATGACACAGAAGAGAACCCGGGCGAATTTAGTGCTGGCGAGTATCTGGAGCAACAGGAACTCTCACACTGCCTGTGGGAGGGAAACTGGTACAAGCACTTTGGACCATAATTTGATAACACGCGTATTAAAGCTGAAGTCAAGTCAACCCCCATGATGCTTTAGGTTTCCTGTCAGGACTTTATCCTAGAGAACGGTTTATACAGTTACACAGGGAGATGTGTGTAGGAATGAACGTTCACTGCAGCATTACAGGTAACAGTAAAAAAAGTGGAAAGACAAAGGGCCATTGCAAGTGACTGTGTAAGTACATTGTGGTAATTTCGACAACAGTAAACTATTAAATAATAGTTAAAATGAACAGCAATGACTACCAAGATAGCTCCCAAAATAGAGTAAAAAATAATTAAGTGAAGAAAATATGTATATAAAAACTTCAAAAGATTACTTCTGAGTGTGTGTGTGTGTGTGTGTGTGTGTATTTGCAGTCCAAGAAAAAAACATGCACAGGAATGATGAATAGAAATTTTAACAAAGTATAACTCATGAAAGGAAAAAAAAGGAAATAGAAGAAGGCTCTAAACATATCTACATTATTTCTTGGGAAAAAAATAGGAAAAATGGTGATATCTTATGATTGGACAAAGCTGAGTCTTGGGAAAAAAACATTAGGCACAGGTGTCTCAGGTGTTGAAGCGTCGTCCTGTGCACCGAAGGGCTGGGGGTTCGAGTCCCAGTCAGGGCACATACCTACACTGGATTCGATCCCCAGTTGAGGCACATTTGGGAGGCAAGTGATCAATGTTTGTCTCTTACATCGATGCTTCTCTCTCTCTCCCTCCTTCCTCTCTCTAAAATTAATCAATAAAAACATGTCTTTGGGTGAGGATTAAAAAAGAAATTAGTATACTTCTCTTTCTAAAATGCATCCTGCTTCTCTGGGCTCTGAGAGCTCACTAGACCAGGGATGGCGAACCTATGACACGCGTGTCAGAGGTGACGCGCGAACTCATTTTTTTGGTTGATTTTTTCTTTGTTAAATGGCTTTTAAATATATAAAATAAATATCAAAAATATAAACATTTGTTTTACCATGGCTGCAAATATCAAAAAATTTCTATATGTGACACGGCACCAGAGTTAAGTTAGGGTTTTTCAAAAGGTTCGCCATCACTGAGCTAGCCATTCTCCAGCTCTCCTGAGACAAGTCACGTAACGGAGCCCTGGGGCAGGGGGCGAAGGTGGGGGCCTCACTGCGGAACAGCGGTGCCTGTAGAGCTGCGTTTACTGCAGGGCTTTCCCTTTCCTGCTTCACTGTCACGTGCCGACTTCTAACAGCCTCTTTACTTCGCCGCTTCTAACCTGCTGTGCGCATGAAAACCGCACAATCTGGCTTATAAGATATTTTGCCTTAAGCAAGAATAAAAAATAGGTTTCAATCTGAGATGCTGAGAAAACTTCCTATGGGCTAAGTTAACTGTAGGCTTTGTAGCATCTGTTTTGTTATTCAGAAGCCACTCCTCATCTCATCCCTTTTTATTTTAAAATTTCTGGCTCTTGTCAGTATTTAGACAGTTGAGATTACTGGGAAGTTGAGTTATGGCAAGTGATGACATGCTACAGTATATCTGACAAAATAAACTCTTCCTGACTAAAATGTGAAACCAGAAAGTATACATATATTCTCAGCCAATATAAAAAATATAGAGACAAAAAGTGAAAGTACAGATTTAAGTCAAAAAGTAAGCTCAAATGGTGACAAAAAAAGAGAGCTTAATTTTACCTCTGGTAAAAAATTCATTGAAAATACACTGTGCAAACTGGCACAATTCAAAGCAGTTGTATAAAACTAAAATCTACCATGAACATAATCACCAAATTAGAATATATGTAAGTCAAAAGAAATGCCCAGATTTTAAAAAGTATTATTTCATCCTGGATTTTCCTCCCATTTGTCACTTTACATCTGAAATGTATGTTTCCACAGATGAATTGAGAAATTTAAAAGTCACTTTAACCAAAAAGCAACCAGTGAGGCACAGAGGGGAAGCTGACTGGATATGGAGACACATTTGAGTGCCTTGTGTCCTCTCCTGCCAGGGGAGGGGCTGTCCTGACCCATAACGTGACCCACCCAACCTTGGCAGCCAATGCAGCCGTGGTGTGGAGACGAAACCTTGGGAACCACATGGCTCAAGTTAGAAGAAAGCAGCACACGTACGGGAAAAATTCAAGCCACTGACCAAAGAGCTCGGCAAAGGGCTCGGTAAAAGCTAGGGTAAGAGTTAAATGGTCAATCAACTGCTGGAACACGATTTGGTATTTCTGTGGTGTATATATTACAGGTAAAGCTATGAAAATCCAAACTCCATTAGAAGACAGATGATTGCAACAGCAAAAGGCCAGGAAACCAAACCAGCTAATTTTTCACTAAAAGGAAATACCTAACCTTTGAGCTTTTAAAAGCATTCTGAGTCTAAGGAAAAAAAAAAAAGGTCAAAGAATTCACAAGGACAGTATTATTTTTTTCCCTTATTCATCTAAAAAAATTTTAAGTACAAGGAGAAAAAATTGGCTTATACTTGAGAAGTGAAACTACCACACATCGGGTACAGAGAGAACGACGTAATTAATGAAGAGGTGACTCCCTCCTGCTGCGGATGTGACCATTAACCAGCCAGGGTCCCTGGAGATGGGAGGAGATGAAGAGGCTGATGCTGGACCTGGAAGGAAAGGATCAGAGGTCCAGCCACGTGGAAAAGTTGAACATCATGACT